AAAAAAAAAAAAAAAAAAAAAAAAAGATGGGCATGGTGGTATGTGCCTGTAGTCCCAGCAACTTAGAAGGCTGGGGTGAAAGGATTGCCTGAGCCTGGGAGGCTGAAGCTGTGGTGAGCCATGAACATGTCACTGCACTCCAGCCTGAGCAACAGAGTAAGACACCAAGTCAAAAAAAAAGGTTGACCAGACATGTTGGTGCATACCTGTAGTTCCAGCAACTCGAGGCTGAGGTGGGGAAATTACCTGAGCCCAGGAGTTTGAGGCTGCGGCGAGTTGTGATCACACTGCTGCACTCCAGCTTGGGTAACAGAACAAGACCATGTCTCAAAAAAAATTGTTTAAAACAAACCAACTTATAAAGTGTTATGAGAATTAAATGAGATAAGTATAAAGTGCTTAGGCACATGATATGTGTGTGGAGAAGGAAGTATATTTGTCTGTTTGTGGGCCAGGTACTCAGCTAAGCTTGTTGCTGAAAGTAGCAGAGAATAGGACACTCCTTCACACAGTAATCATTTGGAGCATTTGCTGTGTGCCAGGCTTTGTGCTAAGTGTAGAAAAGATGACAGAGTTCATGATCTGGTGAGAGACAGTATCCGGTCTGGTGTAGTTTGTGGAGAGTACCATGGGAAGCCTGCAGAGGGAGCCGGCACCCACCCTGTCTGGGAGCAAACCTGTAAGCCACAGTCTCTCGTGGGGTGTTGCCATCTGTGCTGGCTGTTGCACAGTTCATTTGATCATTCAGCAAATATTTAGTGAGTTTCTGTTATGCACTAGCTGTGATGCTAGGCACTGGGGATTTACCGTTGAACAAAAAGGGTCCTGCTCCCTTAAAATAGACTGTCTAAGAGTGGAGGTTGGCATTAGTTGTGTCATCACATACATGCACAAGCATTTGTTACAGTGGTGAGTCTTGTGAAGGCAAGATGGGTGCCGTATGAACAGGGGGCTTCTTTGTGTATACAATAGGGGATGTGATCGACAGGAGGCTTTCCAAGGAAATCTCTGAACCTCAACCTCACTCTGCATCACCCCAATCTCACTGTTTCCTTAAGGCAGGGACTACAGCCATCTTATTTGTTGGGTGTCCCCAGAACAGCATGTGGCATGTGGTAGGCACTCAGTAGCTGTTTATGACATGAAGGTGGATATGGTTGATCTGAATTCTAAGGGGAAAGTAGAAGTTGTGTGGGAGATGGGGAGGAGGAGACTTCAGGCTGAGGAGCAGCCTGTCAGGGGACCTGGGTGGGTGGAGAGCAGGTAAGGGCCCGACAGGAGGCGGTTTGTGGAGCAGGGAGTGGGAGGGAGGAATCAGATGACCTGGGACCAGGCCATAGTGCCTTAAGGGACCACCACAGGCAGGGTCTGATGTTTCTCCAGAGAGCAGCAGATTTTAAACAGCTAGTGTCATGATCCAGTTTCATGTTGGAACAGTTTCTCTCCAGCTCTGTGGAAGACAGATGCTAGTAGGAGGCTGCAGGGCAAGACTGAATGCAAGAGGGGGATAAAAGATACCACCTGGCCCTGTGGCTGTTGCTGCAGGAAGGGTGGGATTCCAGAAAATAAGAACCCAGGAAGAGAAAGTAAGTGTGTCCAGGAATTTCAGCATGTCAAGCTTGATGTGCCTTTGAGGTGTGTTGAGTGGCTATTGGAGAAGTCTAGGCTGAAGGCACAGACCTGGGAATGGTCTGTGTAGGGCTCAAGGGGAAACCAGAGGCCATCTCTCAGGAGAGAGAGAGGGCTGGGATGAGAGGTTGATAAGGAGTTGAGAGACTCAGCACTGAGTGGCTGGGTGGGAGAGCTTGGGACGCTGGAGGAGCTGCCAGAGAAGCAGGAAGAGAACTGGAGATACAAGACCCCAGAGGGAATGCAAAGGAATGTTCAGAAGGACGAGGGGTTAGTCTGGCCAGGGTTGAGGAGTGAGCACTGGAAAGGGTCCCTTGCTCTGGAGGTTGCCAGTAGCATACTGGTGGAAGAAACCAAGTTGGAATGAGTGGAAGTGAGGAAGTGAAGCCTGGATCAGAGGCAGCTTGTGGAGCCATATGACTGTGTGGACAGAGCAGGCAGGAGAGGGAAATGGAGGGAAGCTGTATTTTAACAGAAGTCTTGAATTTTGTTACAACGTTACAGGAGAAGTTGACTAGTGCAATAAGGTTCTCAGAAGGAGAGGACAGGCTGCTGAACCTGGGGGCTTTGTGCTTGTTGTGTTGGGGATAGTAGTCCTGGTTTGGCAGTGGAGCAGGAGTTGTGCGCAGTGTGGTGGAAGGCACATGTGGGAAAGTAGGGTCTGGGTTGAGGGGTCTGGGTGGGCTCTACCCAGGTGTGCCTGGGTGGCACATTACAGTGACAATTTGGAAAGAGAGTCAGACAGAGTGAGATACTGACTCAAAAAAACCCCCAAAACTCCACAAAACAACAAAAAGCCCAAAGAAATGCACATAAAGCACTTAAAACAGTGTCTGACACATTAAAAAACATTTTTTGGGGGGGTCTCACCCTGTTGCTCAGTCTGGAGATCAGTGGCATGCTCATGGCTCACAGCATCCTTGAACTCCTGGGCTCAAGCGAGCCTCCATCTTCAGCCCAAGTAGCTGGGACTACAGGCATGTACTACAATGTCTGGCTAATTAAAACATTTTTTTTGGTAGAGATGAGGTCTTTCCCGGGCTGGTCTCTATCTCCTGGGCTCAAGCCATCCTCCTGCCTCAACCTCTCAAGATGCTGCAATTACAGGTCTGAGCCACCGCTTCTGACCTATTTGACACATTTTAAGTGTTCAAAAAGAGTTAGTGATAGAAATAGAAGTAACCATGATCATATAGTTTTGGGGTCTCAGATGCTGTTGTTTCATTGCTTAAAGCACCAGATGGCGACAAAGCCGTACATCTTAAGCTTACATTTTACTGAAAGGTCTCCGAGCAGGTTAACTTTTCTTCAGTTTCCTAGTTTACGCAAAGTGCGGTATTTTGTTTCTTTCCTTCCTCCTTCTGACTTTCTTTCCTTTCAGCCTTTTGGTTGAAACGCATTTGTTTGAGGCTCTTATTTAAATTTTATTCATAAAATTAAAAAAAAATTTGGTTGACGTAATGTATGCACACAGTCAAAAACAAGACTGTACAGAATAGCTATTGGTGGTAAGCGCGATGCATTGCATGGTCTGCTGTGCCTGCACCCTGTCCTGCTCCCCGAAGCACCTACTTGTAACCATTACTATTGCCCTGTACTTTTAAAGAGCTGAATTTCATATCACTTCCACCAACACGTCTCGCAGTGTGACTCTTCTCTAGTATTCCTTGGAGTTCAGTAGAGGAGAAGAGCGTGGGTTTTGTCGTGTGCTTCCTCTGTGCCTATCACTGTGATGGACTTTCAGCAAAGCCCCTGTTCTCAGCTGGTCACTGGGGGAGGTCGGCAGTGCAGCGTCATACGTGCTTTGGGGGAGGAGCACTCAAGAGGGAGGACACCTGGCCTCTCCTGGGATGAATGCCTGTAAGAGGTGACACCTGCTCAGGGATGCAGGTAGGATCTGATTTGATAGCTAAGGAGAGGGTGCTCCTCCTGGCAGGGGGCTGGGGGTCAGAAATACCCAGTGGCAAGCTCATAGGAAGCTGCTGTGGCTGGGGGCAGACTTTGGAGTTGGAGCTAAGGATGTGGTGGTGAAGCTGGCACGGAGAGTGAGGGTCAGTCATGAGGGTATTTCTTGCTGTGTCAGAAATTGGATCTTGTCTGAAAATAATAAGGAACCGGTGCTTTTTCTTTTTTGAGAAACTTGCTCATGGCAGATCTTTCTGCCACAAATCTTCCTTTTTCCTTCTCTTCTTGCTAATGAACTCTGTTTTAAAACTTAAAAAAAAAAAGGAACCATGGAAGGATTTTAATAACAAAGCAACATGGCTCCATTTGTGTTTTGTGAAGATCACTCTTGAAGCAGTGTGCAGAATATACTTCGTGGTTTGAGGCCAGTTAGGAGCTGACTGACAATCTAGGTGATACTTGGCAAGAGCCTGCTCTAAGGCAGTGGGAAACCGGGGCAGGGCTGGGTCTGAGAAGGAGGAAGACTTGGCAGGCTTGGAGGGGAGGGGAAAGTCCAGAGCGGCTCCTAGATTTCTGGCTGGAGTAGCTGACCACCTGTGTTTTCTGCATGTGCGCTGGGACGTCTGTGTGAAGATTGTTGAACCTGACCTGACTTTGGAGACAGCAGTGCAGCTGGACTCGGGAGACCCTCTGCTCTTACTAGTTTCCCACCTTCAGCAGGTTACTTACCAACTCCAAACCCCAGTTTCCTTTTGATTAAATGAGGAATAGTGGTTATATCTACCAAAGGCTCTTAAGTTTATTGAAAGGAAGAGCATCATGAACACTGGTCATGGCCAGAGCAGGCGATCAGTGAAGTGGTTTCTGTCTTTCCTTTTAAGGTTCAGAAGGACTAGAGTGCCTTCAGGCTTGTTGCTCCTTATGTGAAGTGAGCAATTTTGGGCAATACAGTGTCCTGTGGAAAATAACTGCTTAAAAGACTAAATCTTATGTAGCTCATTCTTTACACCCTCATAGAGGGCTTAGAATTTTATTTATTCAAAACACCTTTTTTCCCAGTCACTGCGTGTGTCATGGGTCCCCATTTACCATTGACTTTTTCCCTTGTTTAGAAAGCATGCACCTTCATCAAATCTAACCTTGATCCCAGCAATGTGGATTCCCTCTTCTATGCTGCCCAGTCCAGCCAGGCCCTCTCAGGGTGTGAGGTAAGTCCAGGTTACTATGTTGACATTTACTTTCAACTGTAAAATGCATTTTTAAAAGGGGAGGGTCATGTCAGATGTTTTTTTTTAATATATATACAGTGAGGAATCCATTGGTGTGAGCGGGAATTCCATCTCTGTGAATTTTTTTTAAGAAAGTATAGTTTGTTAATTTTTCCTAAGTTTTCACGCTTTTCATGGGTTTTAAATAACCTTTTCTTAACAGTTTTTACCTTTCTTTTAGAAGGCCTTAATTTTTTTCTTCCTGTCATTCTTTAACATTTAAAAATGTTAGAGTATACCCTCATGTCAGGTTTCTGGAAATCATTTTATTGAACACAGGGGAACCACACACGCAGACAATTCACTTGTCAGCATCTTTTTGAAATTGTGGTGCTGGAGTTTGACATACATGCAGTGCCGGTGTCTGGGGATTGGAGGGGGAATGAACATGTGCCAGGCAGGTGTGACTGTGGCAGCTGCCCTGAATGCTGTTGGCATGCCTGTTGCAAATTGCCAAAACCTGTTCTCAAACTGTGTCTGCCAATTCTTTCTTAGATCTCTATTTCGAACGAGACCAAAGATCTGCTTCTGGCAGCCGTCAGTGAAGACTCCTCTGTCACCCAGATCTACCATGCAGTTGCAGCCCTAAGTGGCTTTGGCCTTCCCTTGGCATCCCAGGAAGTGCTTGGTGCCCTTACCTCTCGTCTGAGCAAGGAAGAGACCGTGCTAGCGTGAGTTGTCATCTTAGGCACCTCCTAGAGTTCCTTTGTCTTGCGTACGATCCTGAGAGGGTTTGTTCACTGGTTCCGCAAGTACTTCCTGAATACCTGCCATGTGCCAGGTACTCTGTGGGGCATCCCAGACATAATAGTAGTGCCAGGCAGGCAGAGGCCAAGGGCTGAGTCAGCATGGACACAGCACCACCCAGAGACCCAGTGGCATTTTAAGGTTAGAGAGTGAGTGTAGGGGTAGGTAACTGAGGAAAGCCAGTGTTCTCACAAGGAGGTGTGGCTGAGATGCCACGGCTTACTAGCGGTGGAGGCTCTGCAGTGGAGGCTCTGCGGTAGAGGCTCACAGGATCCTGGAAGTCATGGCAGCTGCTGTTTGTGGGAGAGGCAGGTGCCCCAGAGGGTGGGTGCTCCCCTGTCTGCCAAGTCCTAGATGAAGGAGAAGCACCTCAGAGGAGAGGGAGGAGGATAGATTTCCTGTTTACGATAAACAGAAATGTTGCAACTGACTTCAGGATGCTTGCTGACTTTTAAGTGATAACATATGTAGGTTTTTTCTTTAACACTAAGACTCTTCACTTAAGATTAATTTTTTGTTTTCTTTTGCATCCCCCATCTAATGACAATCCCTGAAAGAGGGTGTGGAGTACCTACCTGGAGTCCTCTTAGCAGGAGGTTGATGACACCAGTCCTGTCTTTCAGAACAGTGAGCTTGCTCCCTATGGGTTTTGCTAACCACCAGATTGTCTCAAAGCTTGAAGCTTTGTTAAGAGCAGGGTCACAGTCAGCTTACATTCTGTCTGTCATTCTCATGGCCTGCTCGTGTCCACACAATAGTGATCAGTGACTCTGGGCTGCTATTTCCCTGTAGCTGATATTTTGTGTATACTTTCCCAGTGCTTGACCCTTTTGATCCTTTGGCTTCAGACTACCATATTTTGATCTCTGCTCATAATTCTTTGCAGGTAATGCTTCCCCAGTTACTACTATCTCACGTTGTGATGTCACTCACTGTTAGTGTCTTAGATTGATGCTACCTTCTACAAAAAACTTTCTCATTTCTCTCCCAAGCAAAAAGGAGAATCTCCTTCCTCAAAATCCCAGAACAGGAAGAAGTGCATCCACTTTGGACTCAGACTTGAGTTTGAACACCAGCTGTGTCCTTCCTTACTGTGTGACTTTAGGCAAATTACTAACTTCTCTGAACTTCGTCTGTAAAATAGGACCAATAATCCTTACAGCATAGAGCAAGCACCAGGATTAAATGAGATAGTAGATGTGAAAAGTTTGGTGTAGTGCTTGGTTCTTAGTGAACCAAGAGTGCTTTAAAGTGCAAGAAGCAACTCCTTTTCAAGACCATTTTCTTCTTAGGTCCCTTTCTTAGGGAGCTTGTTACTTCCTTTGTTGTGTTATAGTTTTGTCTATGTTAGATCACAGGCTTTTTTTTTTTTTTTCTTAAGGACAGAGTCTCACTCTGTCACCCAGGCTGAAATACAGTGTCATCGTAGCTCACTGCAGCCTTGAACTCCTGGGCCCAAGTGATCCTCCCACCTCAGCCTCCAGAGTAGATGGGATTATAGGCATGAGCCACCGTGCCTAGCCATAAGCTTCTTTATTTGAAGTCCACATAGAGTCTGGCACATGGTATTGCCCAAAAAAGAATTAATGAAGCCTGAAACTTTACTTTGTGTTTCTATTGTCTTGTAGAAAGCTTACAGCTGGAAAGAGCACATACTTTTGGATCACATAGAACTGTGTTCAAATTCAAATCCTGTTTAATACCTCTGTGACCATGAGAGACTGTTGAACCCCATGTTTTCATCTATGAAACCAAGAGAATGATATCTGTGTCATAGAAATATGTGAGGATTATATGAGGATGCCTCATATAATATCACTACTACCTTGTCCTATTTAAGGAAATGTGGCATAAGTCAGAAATCTTCTAAATGGGTCTTCTGTATTTAAGTGAACTCATTCTAGGAAGTATATGATTGTAAGCTTGTCTTGAATGGAAAAAAGAACATATTTATAGGTTTGACTGAACCATCTGAGAAAATGTCATTGTGGTCTCTCATAAACCAGTTTCCCTAAATCATCTGCTGTATATGAGCAAGATAGGGTCTGCTTTCTTAGTATTTGAATAGCGTGCTCCAGAGAGAAGGAAATTGCTAGCTGGGAGTAACTAATTAAAGTCAGTGACAAAACTTTTCTAATGCTAAGTGAATTCATTTCATTCGAAACCTTGTGAGATTGTTAGCAGCATGGTACTCACTCGTGCCAAAGAGAAAAAAATGATATCTCAGTTGAAAAGTTCTTTCTAGGCTATCTTGACACTCTTTTCTGAGCTCAGCATTTACCATGGCAGATTTGTGAGTTTTATCTTGTTTGGAAATTCAGGTTTCATTTTCTCACATACATAATAACAACAGGCCATAGGAGTTGTTGAATACTCTGGGGCTTCTCTCTCTCTGAATTGTGGCTCCTCTGTTTTCCAATTTGTCATCTTAAATGGAGTTAGTTTCCATGGAAGGAATCTAAATTGTTATGATCTTGACATAAGCAGACAGATTCTTGCTCTCCATTCTGACACATTGACTTGATAAGTGGTGGTTTTACACAAGGGCCCAGTCATCTCAGGAATTCAGAAATCATTGGGGGTGGGAGAGTGAAGTAGCAGTTTAACCACCAGGGGGCCTCAGCTTTCCTCATTTCATCCAGAAATCACCGTTTATATTTTCCAAATTATGTGCATTAAGAGAATACAATCTCATAAACCTTATGTATTTATGCCTACCATTTTTCATCTTAAAAAGTTTAACTTACAGAGTACACTCAAAAATGGATAAAAATATATATGAATAAGCCATTAAAAAGGATGACGTGCTGACATATACTGTAACATGGATAAGCCCTGAAAACATTATGCCGAGTGAAAGAAGCCAGATACAGAAGGCCACATATTGTATGATTCCACTTATATGAAATATCTAGATAGATAAAGCCATAGAGATAGAACATAGACCCCTGGGGGTTGCCAAGGGTGGAGGAGAGACAGAAGGGGAAGAAACTACTTAATGGGTATGGGGCTTTATTTTGGACTGATGGAAATATTTTGGAACTAGACAGAGGTGGTAGTTGCATAACATTGGGAATATAGTAAATGCCACTGGATTGTTCAAAATGGTTAAATTTTATGTGAATTTTACTCAAAAAATTCATTAACTTTTGAAAAATGACATGTATGAATAAGTTACAGGATTGTATGATCTGATAAAACAGTGTTTATCAATTGGAGATTAAATGAGTAAATTATGGTACATTTAGGCAGTGGAATACTATGTCATTGTTAATAAGAATAAAATACATTTATATGTACTCATGGAAAGTTGTATTCATATATATGTGAAAATATATATATATAAAAAATATTTTTTTCTGACGAGACTTGGGACTGGGCCAAGACCTGGTCCTGGCCCCCCCCCAGGACTGTATAAATATATTATTAAGCTGAGAATAAATTGGAGGACAGCTATCTTTTAAGGGTAGGTGTTAACAGGAGTTTTAACTTCCTTAGTAATGTATTGTGTGAATTTTTTGACAAATATATACTTTTACAATAAAAAACAAATAAATGATAGCAAAAGGAAAAAAAGGAATAGACTGGTTCTGGAGCCAAGTCCTCTGTGCCTTTTCTTTTATGCCTGAAGGATGAGTGGCCCTGACTTCAAGTCTCCCAGCTGAATGGTAGCCCAAGTAGTAGCTCTTCAACACGTGTTTACCAACTTCCTCTTCATGTTGCCTAGTTGGGTTTCAGAAAAGTAGCTCCAAATTCCACCCAGCAGTTTACAGATGTAGATTCTACAAGATTTCTTTGACCTTAGAGTAGGAAAAATAGAAAATTAATAGGCAGCCACCTTCTGCCAGCACATTGCCCTGTGCAGCATAGGGGATGCCACGCACACTGGGGTTGAATCCTGTTCTCCCTCAGAGCATGTCTCATGCAACTTGAATTCTGAGTCTTAGTGTCCTGTGTGTGATGCCATTAGGAGCCAAATCAGTTTTCCAAACTGAACGTGTGCTCCCTCCCTCCTCTGTGCCCGCAGTTCTCATTGCTGGTTCTGTTTCCTGGATTGCCTTTCCAAGCTGTGACGATCTTTTCCAGTCTTTGTCATCTCTCTCCCAACTAGATTGTAACTAAACTCCTTAAGGACTGAGACCAACCTGTACTTCTAAAGAACAGGAGTGGGATGTTGATGAAGATACAGGAAGGGTGAGTAGATGGAAAGAGACTTGCCATTCATTGGAGTTCTGCACTCTACCTTCCAGAACAGTCCAGGCTCTGCAAACAGCATCCCACCTGTCCCAGCAGGCTGACCTGAGGAGCATCGTGGAGGAGATTGAGGTGTGACTCTGTTCTGCCAAATAGGTCTCTCCATTCCTAACTTTGACCCCTGTAGAAGAGTCTTACAGATAGACATGCATGGTTTATCACAGCCAGCTATGCTGCTTTTTATATCTGTGGCACACTTACGTTCTTTGTATTAGAGTAATATGTCCTAAGGAATACTTGTGCCCAGTACATAATAGGTACTCAGTAAGTGGTCACTGTAGTTTTATTCTTGCTCTTTCCTTTTTTTGTTCAGGACATCCTGCTCTTCTGGGGCCACTCATGGACTGCATAGCCAGTGATAACAGGCAGTTCTGCCAGTGTTGTCACTGGATGCTTCAGAGACACATTAGCTGCCTGGTCATGTTGCCCAGGAGAGCAGTGTGTCTCCCTCCATCTTTCAGAGCATTGTATAAGAAAGGGAAATGCCGTGCTTTGTAGGTTGTATCCAGATGGATGCCATGGACTCCATCTGTGTCCTGATGCTTCCTGGGTATACGGAAGCCTGGCCCACTGGCTTTCCGCCAGTGACTTCAGTGCTATGACTCCTGGACTTGAGCATGAGTACAATAGGCCAGGGAACGAGGACCCCTGGAAATGCAGATGATACTTTCCTCTTCAGATGTCAAATACACTTGAGTCTCTACCTCAGCACCTTTTTTGAGAAAATACTAAGTGACCGAGATGGTCTTCACATTTAGAGTGAGAGATTTCTCAAAACTGTCTGCATTGGGGTTGTCAGTGGTTTCTGCATCCCATTTCTGCTGTCATTTTACACCCAACATGCTTCCGTTTTGTTGTGACAGGATCTTGTTGCTCGCCTGGATGAACTGGGAGGCGTTTATCTCCAGTTTGAAGAAGGACTGGAAACAACAGCGTTATTTGTGGCTGCCACTTACAAGCTCATGGACCATGTGGGGACTGAACCATCCATTAAAGAGGTACCTGTCTAACAGTTCTCAGGCATGAAACCCAAAGGTTTGTCAGCTTTATCTGCTGAGGATAGCTTTTTTGTGTGTGTGTGTGTGTGTGTGTGTGTGTGTGTTGGAGTCTCACTCTGTTGCCCAGGCTGGAGGGCAGTGGCACGCTCCCGGCCACCGCAGCCTCGACCTGCTGGGCTCTGGCGCTCCTTCAGCCTCAGCCTTTCAAGTAGCCGGAACTACAGGTATGCACTACCACACCCGGCTAGTCTTTTTTTTTTATTTATTGTAGAGAATGAGGTCTTGGCAATTTTCCAGGGCGGGTCTCGAACCCACGGGCTCAGGCAATCCACTCACCTCAGTCTCCCAAAGTGCTGGGATTAACAGGCTGAGCCACTGAGCCTGGCTGAAGATAGCTTTTTTCAAAGCAGGATGTTCAGACAATACCTTGAGGTATTCTCACTCAGTGTCTTGGGTTAAACACTAAGAATGAGAAAAAGAAAGATGTAATGCCTGTCTTCAAGAAGCTGGTTGTCAGTGGGACAGACATGTATATACATCACAGCACTTGCTTCCACTGGGGTGTGTAAATGTCATGAGAGTGGCATGAAGGCCAGGTGGATTGCCCTTGTCTCACCTCCCTTTCTTCCTGATACTCCTGCCTGTCTCATGGGTGCTTGCCACTTTGGTGACCCACGCAAATCCTCTTTCTCTGGTAAGTGCCCTGTACTTCAGAATTGCTTGCTCGCCTCCGTATCCTCACCAGAGGCTAAATCTTAGCTCATCTTTGCTGATGGCCATCATTCACTGTGAGGCATGTGTGTCTACCAGACATCTGCTGAGAAATGGGTTTTTTTTTTTCCCCAAGAGGCACTTGTTAACCTGTAGGAAACGAGCTGAAGTGTGTGTGTGAAGTCCTATCCAAGTGTGACCTTCTTTGTAACCCTTGTCTCTGAGACAGTTACCACCCCTTGATCTAAAGTACTTAAGATGTAAGCTGCTATTATTTAAATTTTAGAAGGAGAGATTTGGGTTCTCAGTTAGAACTTTCTTTATTATGCATTATGAGTTTTATGCCAGATTTCTCTGAATAAACAGTAAATAATTTTCTGTCTTGGATAATTTGCATTAACTTTATATTTTCTCCAGAGGAGATAGGATCAAATAATGTATTCATGTGTTTGCATTCCTATTGTGTCTTTTCCGTTATCCTAAGTGTAGAAGGTCTGGAAATAACACTCCCTTTTAATGTGTTGTGAGTGAAAGTGCAGGAATGTGGGGTCTCATGGTACAAGTTACTTGGGATTCTCCTATACAGTCAAGTGGATGAATTTGTGATATTGCACGTATACAACTTAAACTTTTTCTTCCCTTATTTCCAAGCTTCTACTAACTAGTATTTAGTTGGACTAATTTTGCTATCACAGATTTTGACACAGCAATTCTGGTGAGCAGTCGTACATTTTAACATGTCAACAGCCTGGTGATAGAAAAATGTAATTGGTACAATTAAAGAAAATTATTTCATGTCGACTGTGAATAACATTGTCAGGAACGAGGGAGCTCTTTTGTTAGATGGTAGATTTTAAAAACAAAACTGATTGAGGTAGAAAATGTTTCCTCTCAAAGCAAACAACCTCCAGAATTTTAATAATGCCTTTTAGGGTCCACTTTTTTTTTAAAAATTGCTTTTAATTTTCTCCTCTAATGTAGTCCATTAGTTTGTAATGGAGAGTTATTTTTGTTTCTTTTAGTGTACATTTTAGCTATAAAGTTTGGTCTTATAAATACGAACTTTGGCTGGGTACAGTGACTCATTCCTCCTGTCCCAGCACTTTGGGAGGCCAAGGACTGCTTGAGCCCAGAAGTTTGAGACCAGTGTAGGCAACATAGCAAGACCTCGTCTCTACAAAAAATAAAAAACTTAGCCAGGTGTGGTGGCATGACCCTGTAGTCCCAGCTACTTGGGAGGCTGAGGCAGAAGGATGGCCTGATCCCAGAAAGTCAAGGCTGTGGTGAGCCATGATCATGCCACTGAACTCTATTCTGGATGACAGAGTGAGACTCCAACTGAATAATAATAAAGAAAAAAAGAGGCCGGGCTCGGTGACTCAGCCTGTAATCCTGTGCTTTGGGAGGCCGAGGTGATTGAGTGAATTGCCTGAGTCCGTGGGTTCGAGACCCACCTGGGCAACTTGGTGAGACCTCATCTCTGCAATAAATCAAAAAAATTAGCCAGGCGTGGTAGCGCGCACCTGTAGTTCTGGTTACTTGGAAGGCTGAGGTGGAAGGATTGCTGGAGCCCAGCAAGTTGAGGCTGCGGTGGCCGGGAGTGGCCACTGCACTCCAGTCTGGGTGACAGAGTGAGACTCCAACTCAAAAAAACAAAAAAAAGAAAGAAAGAAAGAAATGCAAACGGTGCCTCAATGTACTGCTTACAAGTAGGTTGGAAGGGAAGGTAGTTTAGCTGGGAGGGTGATGGGAATCAGAAAAGAACAGACTTTCTTGTGAAAGGACTTTGTAAACAAACAGACCTCCATTTGAATTTTGTTCTTACTATTTTTGTTGTTGTTGTTGTAACTTGTAGAAGTTAAGCTATTTGGCCCCCTTTGGCCTCAGTTTCTTCATCTGGAAAACATTGGTAATACTAGTCTTCTAGAGTTTTTGTCAAGATTTGGGTTAATGAATGTAAAACACCTATCACAATACTTGGCATTTGTAGGCATTTAACAAATGATTACTGTTGTTTGTATTTTTAAATGTACATTCATATCTCAGTAGTTTTCTGGAAGTACCTTGCATGGTATAAGTAAACATTCATTAAATGTTTGACAAATAAATGTATGAATTTCAGTTTATAATGGAAGATAGAAAAAAATCATCCAAATCTAAGTTTTAAGTTTAAATACCAAATATTTGGTTTTTTTTCTCTACCAATTTGGGTTAATGATTAAAAGACTTTTCATGGGATCACCTGAAACACTTAAGGAATGACTTGCATCAGTTGAGGAGACAGAGTGATCCTCCCATCTTTCTGCTGAAGGAGGCTCTGCAACTGCATTTCCTTTCTCTTTCAGGACCAAGTCATCCAGCTGATGAACGCAATCTTCAGCAAGAAGAACTTTGAGTCACTCTCAGAAGCCTTCAGCGTGGCCTCTGCTGCTGCGGTGCTTTCTCACAATCGCTACCACGTGCCAGTTGTGGTTGTGCCTGAGGGCTCTGCTTCCGACGTTCAGGAACAGGCCATCCTGCGGGTATGACTTCTGTGCCCAGAGTGTGCCACTGACTGCTGTTTCTAGTGGAAGACTTTCAGAAGTTGTAGCCCGTACCAGAATATACCCTTCACATGTAGGGCAACTCTTTTCCCTTAGCCTCAAAATGGGGACATGGCCATTTGTGACTGGGCAAACCAGTCACAGAACTTTTAAAAATCTATCAAACAGAAACTTTTTTTTCCTAGATTTTAAATGTACAGGCTTTCAGTAAAGTGCTGGAAAATTGCATTTCTAGGTACATAGCTCCAGATGTATAGAGAAGTCTTGCTTCTAAAATGCATTTCCCATTACCAAAACTTCCTAAATACACTGTTTTAAGACAGCTGTTTTTGTTCCCAAGTAATTCTTGTGCTTTATAGTTGTTGAAATAAGGATCAGGTCTCTTCCTCCCTGGTACTGATTATGCTATGAAATGGCAGAAAGATACACAGTCCTCCTCTTAGCAGTAAGAATAGATTTCTCTTTGGCGTTAACTCTTTGGACAGCAAATGCACAGGTCTTTAATATGCTTAGAAGTTTCGTCTCAAATGGGGCATTTTGTTCCTGTTGTTTGGAAACCAGTGATAAGTGAAGATCTTCATAAGAAATTAGCATTTTATGTTTAGACATTGGGGTTCCACATAGGACAGTCCTGTGTGTCTCATTAGCTCTACTTTGGTGGCCCCTGCACGTATCCTGAGGAAGTGTTCAGAATCACCTGTCTTCTCCCTTCCATACAACTCACATCCCTCAACAAAGGCTTGGGTAAGAAATAACCCGATTCACATGCTTCACTGTGAGTCAAGTGGGACTAAGAGAACAGACTGAAGAAAGTATTGGCTCTGAAGCTAGATAGGTGAGTTTGAGTCCTGACTCAACACCTAACTGGCCATGTGGCCTTTGGCAACCCTTGACCTTGTGAGGCCTCCGTCTTTTCATCTGTAATACAGGGATTATGCTGTCTATCTCATATGGTCGGTGAGAGGATATGTGTAGAGGGCCCAGCTTGGTGTATGGCCTATAGCTGACTTTCAACAAATTATAGTTATTAATGTCATCCACATTTCTTGAGGTACCCTATTGCTGATACCTTCCTAAAGTGTATTTCTAGCTGATGATTTTTTTTTAGAGATTCTGTAGTAGAATGAATAGAGCAGGGAATCAGAGAGAAAGAAACAACTTCCTGGGTAATTTGGGACCTGTCATTTTCTTTCCCTGCGCTCTAGTTTCCTTATCTGAAAACTGAGATCACTGGGCAAGGCCACCTTTAGGCTCTTCCCAACTCGACCATTCTGTAATCTGTTCCTTCTTTGTCGAGTTGTTTTCTCTTTATCTGCTCTCTGGTAGGCAGGAGACCCACCAATGATCAGTGAAGATTTCCTGAAAGGAGGCGCTTGCTCTTCTGCAGAGTTTGAACCCTATAGATAAAATACCCCAGTAACAAAATTCTTTGCTTCCTCAGTCTATTGCTACAGATAATTTCTTACATTTATTTCCAGTTACAAGTCACCAATGTTCTGTCCCAGCCTCTGACTCAGGCTACTGTTAATCTAGAACATGCTAGATCTGTTGCTTCCAGAGCCATTGTTCTCCAGAAGACATCCTTTGTCCTGATTGGGTAAGTCCTGGTCATATCTTGGCAGAGCGCCAACCTGTTTGCTTAAGTTAGTTAGCCTGCAGCCAGTGTAGCAGATTAATATGGATATTGCCAAGATCATAAAACCAAACTTACCTAGATTTCATTTAGGCAAATTTGATATACTGGTATCAAAATCTTGCAGTTGAAGATGAAAAGGATTTTTTTTTTTTTTTTTTTTTTTTGAGTTGGAGTCTCACTCTGTCGCCCAAACTGGAGTGCAGTGGCCGCTCCCAACCACCGCAGCCTCGACCTGCTGGGCTCCGGCAATCCTTCCGCCTCAGCCTTCCAAGTAGCTGGAACTGCAGGCGCACACTACCACACCCAGCTAATTTTTGATTTATTGTAGAGATGAGGTCTCACCAAGTTGCCCAGGCAGATCGCGAAGCAAAGGATTTTTAAAACTAAAATAATTTTGGTTTTACTGTTTTATTCCCTATTTCTAGTTGATTCTGTTTTGTCACTGTGATACAAGTAGTATTTTATAATTTAATATTTACTGATGCATGAGTAATGCATTTTTTTCCTGATATATAAGTAATACATGTTTATTATAGGAAAAATACAGAAAAGTTAAAAAAAGAAAATATGATTCACCCATCATTCCAGAGATAAACTACTGCTAATATTTTGCAATCTTTTTTGTCACTCTTTTCTATGTATATAAATAAATGTTTAAAATTGAATTAGGATTATGCTTTATACATTTTTCCATAGGATTAACTGTTCTACATTCATTTTTAATAGCTGCATGTTATTGTTATATAACTTTTTAAGCAAGCCAGGAGCAATAGTGTATGCCTATAGTCTTAGCTACTTGAGAGGCTGAGGTGGGAGGATCACTTGAGCTCAGGAGTTTGAGACTAGTCTGGGCAACACAGTGAGACCCTGTCTGTAAAATAAAATGAAATGAAATGTAAAGTAAAATAAAATAAAATGCACATATATAAATGACCTGTTTTATATTAAATTGTAGAAAGCTACCAGAAGGAAGCTTGAATTTTAGGAGCTGAGAAGGAAGCAAAGGAAAAGAAAACTTTGGAAATTTTGGAAACTTAGGAGAGAATATATAGTTTTCAAGGTTTTAACAGTTTTTAAGTTTTTCAGTTTTCCCCACACGAATCTGTGATTGAGCATGAGATTGCCCAAGTGCATTGGGAAGTCAAAAGTCTCAGAACTGGGAAAGCCCTGTAGTGTTTCAAAGAGACACTTTGTAGCTCTGTTTGTTATATTCATGACTTTCCTACATGAGTTCTTGCTAAGCCTACCATCATTCTTAACAGGGACATTTTTGAACTAAACTTCATGAATGTCAAGTTTTCCAGTGGTTATTATGACTTCTCTGTCAAAATTGAAGGTGACAACCGCTATATTGCAAATACTGTAGAGGTAAGTGCAACTCTTTTTATCCTGTTAATATATCCAAGGAAATGGGCATCCAAATAGATATCCAGCATTAATTGTTTAGTATATTGACTTTTTTTTTTTTTTGCAACCAAGCTAATGTGACCATGTTAAGAGAGGGATAGGTTCAAACTATGCTGTTTGATAGACTTAATGAAGGCAGTAAAATCAAGAACTTGCTCATTCCAAGTTTTCTTTTATTTGTGAGTTATTCACTTTCCATTATAATTTAGCATTACTGTCTTACATAAAATTTAAGAAGTAGAAAAAATAAAAATCGCTCATAATTCCACTGAGGCATGCATCTTAAAATGTTTTGTATAGTAGACCTTGGTAGGTTTAGAAAAGTGCTTGATGCCAATAAGTGACAAAAAACCTCAAGTGACACATACACAACACTGTAAGGAAACTGTCTGGGTAAGGTATAAAAGAAAATGGGCACTCTTTCATGATGAGCTGTGTTTCAGATGTTGAGCTATTGCTAGTTGGATTGAAGATCCAAGAAGCCCTAAGGATAGAAAGTTTAGCCTCATTCAACTGCTGCTTTGTGGTAATGAGGTATTTCACATTAGTGTTTTTCCTACCTAATTGAAGTTTACCCTTACTGGTTCTGTGGCTTTCATTTTAGGCTTTTTAGATAGAGGCTTATTTCAGCTGAATCACACATATCTATACCTTCTTAAACTCTGGAGTATGGCTAAAACTTTTCTTTGAACCAATATCATCAATGTGAACCCTTCATGGAATGCCTGTTACAGGAGAAGTACAGTTCTGCTTACATTAGTCTGTTCTTATAAGCAGCTCCGTGGGGTAGAGTCATCTCCATTTTATAGATGAGGCTCAAAGGGTTAGAGTAATTTGTCCAAGGTCACCCAGTCTGTGTGTGGGTGGATCTCCTGCACGGTCCCAGTAGTTAGTGTGCTCTGGAGAACACAGCCAGCCTCAGAGGCTGCAGAGTTGTGCACCACTCCAGAAGCCGGCCTCCTTGTCACGTTCCCTTCACCTCTCTTCCACCTCTGTCAGCTGTCATTTCTCAGTGACACTCAGTTTCTGCTGCTGTGTCTTTACTGCGTCTACCTGACAACCTCATTGTGCATTCTACTGGGTAGGAACCTTGCAGTGGTCCTGGGCCTTTCCTGAAATATTCATTGTATGCTGTTTGTGACAGCTGTTTTCTTCACTTTTCAGGTGTCATTTTCTACTCACTTTTTTTTTTTTTTGAGTTGGAGTCTCACTCTGTTGCCCAGACTGGAGTGCAGTGGCCGCTCCCGGCCACCGCAACCTCGACCTGCTGGGCTCCGGCGATCCTTCCGCCTCAGCCTTCCACGTAGCTGGAACTACAGGTGCACGCTACCACACCTAGCTAATTTTTTAAAAATTTACTGTAGAGATGAGGTCTCGCCAAGTTGCCCAGGCGGGTCTCGAACCCGCGGGCTCAGGCAATCCACTCACCTCAGCCTCCCAAAGGCGTGGGATTACAGGCTGAGCCACCAAGCCTGGCTCTACTCACTTTTTAAAATTAAATTTTATCTTTCCATTGTGAGATAATTTTAATTGTTATAAACATTGCAGAAATAGTATGTAGAATTCCCATGTACTTTTCATGCAGCTTCCCCAAGTTGGTATTTTATGTAACTATAATTGTCAGTACTAGGCAATTAACATTGGTATAGTACTACTAACTACTCTATAGATCTTAATTCAGATTTTGCCAGTTGTCCCACTAATGTCCCTTTTCTGGTCTAGGATTTATCCTTTAATTGTCACTCCCTTTAGTCTCCTTCAATTTAAGATAATCTCTTTTTCTTTCATGACCTTGACACTTTTGAAGAGCCAATAACTTTGTAGAATGTTTCTCAGTTTGGGCTTACTTGATCTTTCCTCAGGATTAAGTTCAGGTCATGCTTTTTTTTTTTTTTTCTTTGCAGTAATAATCCAAAAGCAGTGTTCTGCCCTTTGCAGTGTAAGAAGTGTATGATATTGATATTTCTCTTATTGGTCATGTTAATCTTGATCACTTGAGTTAGGTGGTATCTGTGAGGTTTCCCATTGCAAAGTTGTTATTTTTCTGCTTTGTAATTGAGTGTCTTGTGGGTGATCCTTTAAGACTCCACAGATATCCTTAAAATCTTGTCTGAAAGAAGTAGGCAGCTAGAAAGTTTGACCTTTTCAAAAATAGGGCATTACTTAACATAGGTAGATTAAAACACTTGTATCTGGAAAATTGCTAAAAGGCAATTTTCTCTTTCATTCCTTCCACTTTTTTTTTTTTGAGTCGGAATCTTACTCTGTCTCCTGGGCGGGAGTGCAGTGGTACACTCACGGCCACCGTAGCCTCAGCCTGCTGGTTCAGGTGATCCTTCCATCTCAGCCTTCCAAGTAGCTGGGACTACAGGTGTGTGCCACCACACTCAGCTACATTTTTTATTTATTGTAGAGACGAGGTCTCACCAAGTTGCCCAGGCTGGTCTTAAACCCTTTGGCTCATGCAGTCCTCTTGCCTCCGCCTCCCAAAGTGCTAGGATTGTAAGCATGAGCCACTGTGCCTGGCCCCTTCTGCATTTTAAAACTGGAATTCTATTGTGAGAAAACAGCTTTATTTATTCAATTATTTGTAATTATAATACTTATACATTGTACATTTCTATAACGTATTGTATCATGGATGTTTATTTTACTGTTAGCTTATAATACATTCATTACTGTCATTTATTTTATTGCTTATATCATTCTAGGTTTGACCTTTGGAGAGAGCTCCTCAAGGTGTCTCCTTTGACACTCACTTTCTTTTAATGAAAGAAGTTAGGCAGCTAGAAAGTTTGACCTTTTCAAAAATAGGGCATTACTTAACATAGGTAGATTAAAACACTTGTATCTGGCAGAATATTTAGCAGAAAGGAAGATGTTTTCTGGAACTCTAATCTCTCTGCCTCTTGTCTGACCTTTGGGCATGAGACATCTGATCCTAGTCCACTCACTAATACAGAATTTGAATAGAAATGATTGTAGTGTGTGCCTTGAACCTTTCAAATTCACATCTTTTAATGTTAGTTTCCGTCATTAAGAGGCCTTATTTGTAACTCAGCACATTAAAAGGAAATCTCTTCTATTTTTTTTTTTTCTTGAAAACTTTTCCTTCCACCATCAAATCCAGTTTAAATATCAGGCTTTTAAATTGACTGCCTCAAAGCTGTCTTAACCCCTTCCTTTCCTTTCACTTCTGCTTTCTGGTCTGTTTCCAAGTCCTATTGGTTCCACCTCTGAATGTCTTTTCCGTGAGTCTTTTGTTGTTGCTTTATTAGGTATCGCCAAATTGCTCTTTGCTTCATATTCTTACCAATAATTGGTGTTAACAGTTTCTGATAATCTGATGCATATGAAAGACATCTTGTAATGTTTTTCCTTGGTTACTAGTAAAATTGAACATCTTTTCTTATATTTGTTGACCATTTATGTTTCCTTTCCTGTGAATTATCATATAGTCTTGCCTGTTCTTCTTTTGGTTTGTAAATCTTTTTATTATTGATTTTTAGGATAAATATTCTGGATACCAGTCCTCGGTTTTCAGTATCAGATATCTTCCCCTAGAATTATTTTATGACCCTTTTGATGCACAAAATTTAATTTTAATGGAGCCTAATTTAAAAGTCTTTTTCTAGATTGTTTTTGTGTCTTCTTTAAAAAAATCCAATGTGACCCCAAGGTCAAAAAGGTATTCTCCAGCTGGGCTCGGTGGCTCAGCCTGTAGTTCCGCGCTTTGGGAGGCTGAGGTGAGTGGATTGCCTGAGCCCGCGGGTTCGAGACCCGCCTGGGCAACTTGGCGAGACCTCATCTCTACAATAAACCAAAAAGCCAGGTGTGGTAGCGCGTGCCTGTAGTTCCGGCTACTCGGAAGGCTGAGGCAGAAGGATCACCGGAGCCCAGCAGGTCGAGGCTGCAGTGGCTGGGAGCGTCCACTGCACTCCAGTCTGGGCGAGAGTGAGACTCCAACTCAAAAAAAAAAAAGGTATTCTCCAACGTTTTCATCTAACTGTTTTTAAGTTGTTTTTTCCTTATATTTAGGCCTTCAACCTGCTTGAAGTTTATTTTTATTGCCATAGTGTTTTACACCTTGTCTGTGATTGTACTTGTTGCATTATATTACCATTGTTTGCTTATATGCATTGCTCTTTCACTGGGCTGAGAACTTCTGTGGGTGGAGACCAGATCTTACTTTTTCAGTACTTGGTTTCCATTGTAGACTACTTAGAAGGAAAGGGTGGTCTAAACAGGGCCTTCAGAACTCTGTGGTAAATCATCTTCCAGCAGTGAGTCTTGGCATTTATTTATTAAATAACAGCTTTATTGGGGGTATCATTCTCATACCATAACATTTACCCATTTAAAGTATGTTTAGTGTTTTCAGGATATTCACAGACTTGTGCCACCAATCTAATTCCGGAATGTTCTTATCGGCCCATAAGCAACTCCATATCTGTTAGCACTTCCCCATTCACTCCTCCTCTCAGTTCTGGCATCTACTCATCTGCTCGAGGCTAAATGGGTTCATAAATATGTTTCCTTGTCTGGCTTTTTTTCACTTAGCATAATATTTTTAAAGTTCTTCCATATTGTAGCATTTATCAGTATTTCATTTCTTTTTATGACAGAATAAGATTCTATTGTATGGCTATATCACATTTTGTTTATTCATTCATTAGTTGATGGACATTTGCAGTATTTCTACTTTTGGGATCTTATGAATTATGATGCTATGAATATTGATGTATAAACTTTTGTTTGAACACCTGCTTTCATTTCTTTGAGATATATGGGAGGGACCTACAGATACTCGGAACCATCTTTTTAGAGGATGGCCTCTTGTAGTACACTCAGAATTTGTTCCTCCAGATCATATGGTCAACCAAAGTTTTTATCTGGAAATTTTGAGAAGGTTGTGTTACAGTTTGTACAAGAAACCTCCCAAGTTCTGGCAAACATGTGAC